ATGCTGGCTGGGGAATTCTGGGAGTTGAAGTCCACCCAGCTTAAAATTGCTAAGGTTGAGGAACACTGCTGTAGACCATCATTTCTGATTGGGGGTGTATGATAGAAGCTGTAGTCCATCAGCCATGCTGCCTGGGGGTGATGGGAAATGTAGTCCATCAGCCAAGCTGACTGGAGTGGGGAAAGTGTAGCCAACAGCCATACTGACTGGGGATGATGGGAAGTATAGTCCAGTAGACTGGGGTGATGGGATCTGTGGGCCATCAGCTACACTAACTGGATAATCCATCGGTCATGCTGACTGGGGATGATAGGAGGGGTAGTCCATCAGCCATGTTGACTGGGGTTGATGGGAAGTATAGTCAAACAGATACACTGACAGGGTGGGAATTGTACTGATCAGCCATACTGAGTAGGGATGATGGGAAATGTAGTCCCTCACCCATGCTGACTGGGGATGATGGGAAGTGTAGTGATCATCCATATTTGAGGGGGATAATGGTGAATGTAGTCTATTGGCCATGCTGCTCAAGAAGATGAAGGTACTCTACCCACCATGCTAGTTGGGAGAAAGATGGAGATTATTGTTGATGGACCAGCTTCACTGCTTTGGGTCGAGGTGGCCACAGTCCAAGCTGCAAGGTTGTTTTTTAAGAGTGCACCAGGGGCAAGAATCATTTCTCATCCATCCGCCTCTCCATCCTCTCCTGCCATTACTGACTTATTTCCCTTGCTCTTGGATTAGCAAAAAATGATCCAGCTGAAGGACAGCACTGCAGAAGATGATGCCATCAGGCAAGCAGGTGAGGGTCCCACGGGGATTGGGGGGGGCTACAGCAAATCTGAACAAAGGGTGAGGCTTAGCCAGGACTCGGGCCAGGCCCACCGCTTGTCCAGTACGGGCAGATGATGGCCAGTTTGGTGCAGCCGTGAAAATCCTGAAATAGAAACTGGGAGGCAGTGAGTTCGAGGCCACCCTGAGGCATGGAAGCCGGTTGGGTGATTTGGGGCCAGGGCGTTCTCTCCACGCAGCCCCTCACAGGGTTGTTTTGTGGGGAAAATAGGAGGTGGAAGCATTGTGAGATCTATCTATCTATCTATCTATCTATCTATCTATCTATCTATCTATCTATCTATCTATCTATCTATCACATTTACACACCGCCCATCTCACTGTATAAGTGACTCTAGGTGGCTTCCAGGTAGACAAAAACTTGTACAAAATCAAAGTGGGGTGTCAGTCTGATAAAGAAAGAAGGCAAGAAGACGAACCCTTCATCTCAGGAGAATGATTTTGACTTAGTGTTGCAGGGATGTCTTGAAATTAGCTGTGGGGGGTTGCAAATTCCCAAGCACCTCCTGGCCAAATTAACTGACTCTTGCTACCCCTGAATACCTGCAATAAGCAAGCCAAGGTTGTGGTGTCCCTTCCATATCCCCTACGGCGTTTAAGGATTCCCCCACCCCAACACGCATGCCATGTTGCCAGAAAGTTGTGCACTTGTCATGGTACATGGGAATGGCCTTGGGAGACAGAAGGGAGAGCTGCAGATGGGACAATCGGCCTGTAAAAGGGATCTCAGTCCATAGAAGGAGGGAGGGCGTGGGAAAAG